TAATAGCCAGCATAAAGTTGAGGCAAGAGAGATGAAGATGTTGAAATAGATGTGGCTATAAAAAATAGATAATTTCTAATGAACATACACTACAAAAAAAAAAAACATTTTTAGTGCTGAAAGTCGTCGTCAAAAATCCTTTTTTAGTCGTGATATATGGGAAAGATCAGTTGGTATGATATCTATTGAAGTTAAAATGTAATATATATACAAAGAATGTTGTTGGAGGTGCTAACAAGGGAGGTAGATCAGACGGTATGAAATACTCTAACAATGAGTAGAGCAAAATCAAAGAGAGTACTCAGTAAAATTAGTTGACAATATGCCTAGAGGTTAGAGATTTGGTTATTGATAAGTGCAATAACATCATACAATCCATGCTGCCAACCCAATGAATCAGCCTAGCTCTGAAACATCAATATTATACAACTTATTAGGAAGTAAATTGAGTTCATTTCACTTGGATAAATTAGGAAGAGATATATGAGAGAGAGAGAGAGAGAGAGAGCGGATGGAGAAGTGAATTGAATGTCCAAAGTCCAATGGAAATGAAAGACGAAAAATGCAAGGCAGGTGGGTGAGAGCATATATTTATGAGGTGACAAAGTGAAAATTTTGCTCTTTAATTCTCAGCTGAAAAGAAACAAAAAGCTTCCAAGCAAAATTTCATCACGTGCATCAAATATCATATAATCTAATCATTTCTTTAGACATTCTGTGAAAGATCAAATTAGTGCAGATCGATAATATGGCTCTGTATGTGTTGCGCGTGTAATAAAGACTCGTACTTTAATTTCTCATCACCTCAACTCAACAACCATCCCTTTTCTTTTTGTTTCTTTCTGATATATAATAACTTCTGGAATCAGCTGTCCTATATATATATATATATATATATATATATATATGAGGTTACACACACACACACTACCTACAATCCTTAGTATAAGAGATAGTTTGACATTCAGTTTATTCCTAAATATAAGATCACAATTCACTTTGTTTCCTATATTTATTCATTTTTTTCCAAGATAGTCCTTGTACGGGTTACATGTGTTAAATAATTCGACAAAGTGTAGTTCTAGGTTTCTAAGCAATACACATGATTAGCAAGGATATTTTAGGAAAGACAATACATATTTCTTATAAATAACTAACAGTTAATTTTCCTGATCTACTCAAATTAATCAACTAGCTTTTATATCAAAGACTGGACGTAGTAATTAGGAATTACATGTGTTTAGTTAGGTTGGAGAAATACTCCTTTGGTTTTATTTATACGACAGAGAGATAAGACATTTTTTAGTCTTATTTATGGGGCGCTGAGAAAAATTTTTTATATGATGTACAATTTTACCTTTTAGTTATTATTGTATTGACTTTGTTTACATGAGGTATAATGTATATTAAATAAAAATAAAGTTGAAAAGTTGTTTAATTTTAAATGAGAGTTAATGAAGTTTAAGGTTTTTTTTTTTGTGTCTGCATAAAACATATTGGAAGTGACTTATAAATAGGACCAGATGAGTATATAAAAGGATTCATTGCTTAATGAAGCAGTGGAATTTATTGCTCTGAATGTGAAGAAGGTAACAAGCTAACTCGTATCTTAATTAATTACTTGTGTTAATGTAATCAACGAGCTTATCTCTTCCTTATTTATACGACACTCGTATCTGTTGTAAATATACTTTTTCTCTGTGTTTAGCGTATGCCCTACTTGTACTCCTCTACCAATTCCCCAACCTTTACTTCTATACATCATCCTTGTGAGGGTAAGCGTCATTTTTTAATTTATTTTTTGAGATAACCTCAGAGCCATCAGTTTAATTAGTTAAAAGCTACAAAATTCTTCTAAGATTCAGTTTAACAAGCGAATACATAAAATTAAAAACGGTGTCTCACACATATAAGGTGAGCATGAGGACTTCCTATATATATATATATATAGAGAGAGAGAGAGAGATATATATATATATTTAAAATTAATTAACCTTTGCTCTGCAGGTAATTAGATTTCAGGATTTTGCAACAGATTCATAAAAATGGTTATTACATTTATGACCGGAGGAGAATAATGAGCCCTGTTGGCTACATGACCAGTTAACATTATCCGTTCAGTACAGTGCTGGCTTGCATACATAAATGTGGGACTTTTTTGCCCTTTTCGCCAGTGAGACTTTGAGACACATATATATATATATATATATATATATATTGAGGAGTATAATTTATTTGATGTAAATAAAAAAAAAAGGAAAAAGGGAGAAGGGGGGAGAATAATTTAACTGACAAGGTGTGTAGGATAAGCCAAAAGTAATGGAGTTGAGTTGCCTGGTGGGCAGTGTTTTGGTGGGAGTGGAACGTGGGGAACCCTAAAAATAATGTGTCTATGTCCCTAATCATTTCACCTCCACCTCACTCTCTCTAACCTTTTCATTCTCACATATATATAACTAATCATTCCTCCTAAATTATTCATTTAGCTTATGTTCTGGGAGTAGTATTTTTTTAATCAAAATAATAATCCAGATGTCACCCATGTTTATAGTATTTAATAAGTCTCGTTATTTATGACCTATAACTAATATTCCATTCGGTTTAAACATAGTAGCCAGCTGATAGGCTTTCTTAATTTGATTTTAAACATAATATCTTAATCAACTTTATCTCTTAAATTTATACTTTTTTTTTCTAAATTATCCCTATATATTAATTGTACATATTAAAAATGACTTCCATTAACAATTGGGTATATGGTTTCAATACAGACGATCAAAAGGTGTGTCTTAGGTTAGATTTTATATTTTTCTCTTTTTACCTACATATGATTTTATATTGCAATCCATTGTATTAATGTCTTAGGAACTCTGTATTATATGTGGTTTATACATAAATATTTTATATACTTGTGAATTAATATTGTTATTTAAATATTATTTTAATTATTATTAATCTGATAGTTTAAACCATTAACTTTTAAACCAATATTTTGACTGGTTCTAATTTCAGCACTTTGATGTGAACAGGAAAAATACAAGGAGGAAGGTTCAGATGCCATATATGTACTTCTACCATTGAATTTTTGAACTTTTACTAATATGTATTCGACTTTTTTTTCTTTGTTTCGTAGAGTTATCTTCTTATTAGAAGCAATTCTATTCAACACACTGTCAGGGATTAAATATGAACACAACTCCTAGCAAAGATTCAAATTTTAATTCATCATGTTATAAAAAACTAGTTTCTTCCACTAAACTTAATCTTACTGACAGTATGTATTCAACTTAACACTAATAAGATACATGTTTGAGAGTAGTAGTGAGAAGAGCCTTTGGGCTGAAAACAATGGGCCGTGGGGCCCAGAGTCCACAGAACGGGATAGAAGGCTATACTTGTAATCATCCACCGTAAGTGAGAGTATGATGAAGATAAGGTATTGAGCAGTTTAATTTGGTGTGGGGAGGGAGGAGAACGAAAGGTTGTATACTTGTATTTGGAGGGAGAGGTGTCACTTTCGTATTGTCCAAGGTCGGTCCCTGTGGGGCCCATCCCCGTGCAGGCTTTTGGACCGTTTTTAATTATTCCCAACCAACCAGAGACCGCGTGCGGTTGCTGCACCTCATTGTCATATATTATTATTATTATTATTATTATTATTAGTTCCTCTCTAAACCCTAACACCACCACTCACCTTCCACTTCTCCCTCCCTTCTTTATTTCTCTTTTTTTTTATTTGCACTTTTCCTCCCAGAAACACACTCTATTCTTTTCTTTTTAAAACAAAGAGAAGTTAAAAAAAATTAAGTGTATGAAAGACTTGAGTTCCTTGAAATTGCAATGCCTCTTCTCCGCACATAGCAAGTACTCTTCTAATCCCTTCTATAAGTTACTTCTACCATGTTTCACATAGATCAAGAAAAACTTTAAATTTTATGAACTCTCATTTAAAATTCAACAGCTTTTTAACTTTATTCCTATTTAATATACACTATACATCATACAAAAAAGTCAACATAATAATAAATGAAAAGTAAAATTATACATCCATACAAAAAGTTTTTCTCAATACCCCATAAATAGGACAAAAAATATCTTCTCTTTCTGCTCTATAAATAGGACCGAAGGAGTATTTCATACTAATCAATTTTGTAATTTAGTGACATGAAAGTTTTTTGATACAAGTGAAAGTTTGTGAATTCAATTCTATTTGTGAGCTCAAATTATTAGTGTCTGCTTCGTACCACATCGTTCCTTATAGAGAGGCTAAATCATTCGCCAAACACTTTCTTGCACTGCTTTTCCATATACCCAAGAAATTCAAATGTTGAAGTGGTCAGAATAATAGAGAATTACATTTCCATTATTAATGGAATTGTACGTACCAACAAATTAATTACATATTCATTAGCTGGCTAGGCTGAGGTAATTGTGACGATATATATATAGGGTAAATGCAAGGAATTAATTAATAGTTACCGTACTTAACATAACATATTAATTGGCAAAGAAATTAAATGGGAGGCATCTAGAAGAACCATCCTTATTACTATGATTACCACAAGCTATAAATTAATTAAATCTGATCGTGTACACCACGCAGTGTGTGGACTCAGGAAGGGAAAAAGAGAAAGGAAAAGAAAAAAGGTGAGAGAGAGGCTACAGTGAAGAAGATATAGAAGAAGCTTAAGAAGAGCTAATTAAGTAGGCGAGTAACTTTTGGTGGGAGGCAAATTAAAGAAAGATGGATATGTTGTAACCTATAAGAGTCATGAGATCACCACCAAAACAAAAATATCCCTTCCTTCCATTCCCTATCATCATCATCATTATACACATTATATTACATTATTATTATACTGCTACTACTACTATCCCCTATACATTTATTTTATTATTTTATATATATTACTTGTTTTGTCCTTTTATTATAGACCCCCTCCCTTTCGTCTTCATCACCATTTGATCTTTTTCCCACTCTTTGTCTCCCCCCAATTACATCAATCTTTCTCTCTCGTCTCCATCAGTTTCTGGTGGCTGGTGCTAGAGTTTCACATCTCTCTCTCTCTCTCTAACTCGCAGAGAGAAGGAGATAGATAGAAACTATTGAGAAGGATGGCTTACTAGGGTTTTCTCGTATCGTTCATATACACGTCCTTTCTTCTTCTTCCTCATTCACCTGTTTCTTCCTAGCTATTTAACCCTACTTCGTCTTTATTTCCCATTCCTGAGAACCTTAATTCCCTACCCAGCTTTACCTTAACTTCTCCTTTTTGGTCTTTCTCGGGATCTGAGATCTCTCTTTTGCTCGATCGCGACTAGAGACGAAGAACAAGTTTATTATCAGTTCAATTCCCGAGGACATCACTTTTCAAAATTTCCACTTTGTTGTCTTCTTGTTTGTGTGTTTCTCGTCTTTCTTTCTCTGTGCGCTTTTGTGCTTTTTTTGTCTGTTTATGTTGGACTCCGCCAAGCTATTATTGAGCTTGTCGATGCAATTGGAAAGGCAGCTTCATAAAGTCTCTCTCATCTACCATATCTATCCTACGATTTAGTGCTGCAGAGACAAGGTTGTTTTTCATCAGATCCATCTGCTGAACAACCCTATTTGGAGTCATTACATTCTTGGGACGGCAACATATCAAGGTTTTTATTTTCCTTTTTGGGTGGTCTACACACACACATACTGTTTTCTCTCTTGTTCACTTTGCATCATCTGGGTTTCTCTTGGCGTTTCATCTTTAATTATTTACTATCTTCTGAAAACTGCTTTAGAGTTATAAATATGAGCACGCACGAATTCAGTAACCTGGTTGTTGGGAGTCAAAGACAGAGATTATGAGTCCAACAGACAACTAAAAGACAAAGAGAGAAGCCCTAAGAGTCAAACGCTAAATATATGTTAGGAAAATCTTTGACATGACTTTGATCTGAGTTTCGGTTGTAGATTATATATCTAATCAACACCAACCTCTAAAATCATGTTTGTTTTCACTTTTCCCCTCATCTTCTTATGTCTTACACCTAACACCATTAATTAATTTTGTTTTATACTAATTAAGTTCAACAGACACCCACAGACAGGTGAAAATGTTTCCCCTCAAATCTGCTTCCAAGTCCCAAGTCATGTTTGGTTTACGTCTGAAAAATGTCTACTCATCGAATTAGCTAGTGTACATATATATAGTTATATACAAGTCATTGCATTAAACGAATTAGTGTATATATTCCATCCTCGATATATCAATCATGTGCTATAGAATTTCATTTAATTTTTCTCTTTTCTTCATGGAAAAAGATTTTTATTTTTTGTTGTTGTTCTGTTAGTGTTTCTCTCTTATGTGTGTTGCTAGTGTTGTGTTATTATTTTCTTTTGTAATTCCATTCTCTCCTTCTTCTCTTCCTTCCCCTCCCCCCCTCTCTCTCTATCTTTCTTTTTCTTTTTCTTTAAGGTCTCTGGTATCCGTTTATCAGCTAGACGCGTCATATACATGAAGAGATAGATATTGCTTTGATTAAACGTCAACAAGTGAACATATGTGAGATATATATCAAATAATAATGTTTCATTCCAAATAGAATTAAACTTTATAGTCGTTAATTAAAATGAAGTCTTTATCTCCTCTCTTTCTGAAAATAAAAGAAGAGAATAAACCAACGCTTCAGTCTTGTTGTAGCAATATTGGACATCATACAAATTTCTCCCTACGATTTGTGATGAGTTCTAAAAACTTTGTTCGATCAATATTTAATATATCAACTTCGACTGATTAATCCTCTATAAAAAAAAGTGTATATATATATATGTTTCATGACAAGAAATAATGCTTATTTTTCTTGTGCTATATATGTGAAACGCAGGCTTTGAAACTTATAAAGCAGCGGACATGAACACATTTTCACATGTTCCTCCGGGGTTTCGATTCCATCCCACTGACGAAGAACTCGTTGATTACTACCTCAGAAAGAAGATAGCTTCCAAAAGGATTGATCTCGACGTCATCAAGGATGTTGATCTGTACAAAATTGAGCCATGGGATCTTCAAGGTAACACAAGATTGAGCATATATAATTAATTAAACAGTACATTTCATTTGATACACTTATAATGTAAATTCACAAACAAGTACCGTTATATTACAGAGTTATGCAGAATAGGAAGCGAGGAACAGAATGAATGGTACTTCTTCAGCCACAAAGATAAGAAGTATCCGACAGGAACACGAACGAACAGAGCCACAAAAGCAGGATTCTGGAAGGCGACTGGAAGAGATAAAGCGATCTATTCAAGGCATTTTCTGATTGGTATGAGAAAGACTCTTGTGTTTTACAAAGGACGAGCCCCTAATGGACAGAAATCTGACTGGATCATGCATGAGTATCGCCTTGAAACTAATGAAAATGCAACCCCTCAGGTAAGTGTTATATATATATATATATATATATATAGACACACACACACATGTATGTATGTGTGTGTATATATATATGAGTGTGTTTGGGTGTGTTTCATTTAATTTCTTCTTCATTTAAGCCCTTCCAACGATTTGAGGAGGCACTTAGATAAACAAACTTGTAGAGACAATTAGGTAACCTAATAAATTACTACTACTATTTCTTCTCTATCTTTTGACCGTCTAGTATAAATTGCTCCTGTTGTGTCAATAATTAAATTGTGGACCCTTGTAATTACCCACAGAAACTTACCCAGTCAGTCATCAAAAGCCTTTAAATCCAGTATACTCCCTTTTACTGACATCTGTCTCCTGTATGATGAGTGTAAGGTTAAATTATTGTACTACAAACTTTTTCTGTTAGTCTCAAAATATCGTTAGGATTTGTAATTAGGTACACAAAATTTTTTATTTTTTATTCGATCTTATTTTTAACTTCTGTGGTATATATGCTAGCTATTAACAAGCTTTGTGTTGTCTTAGCACTTAAAACACATGTGATTTACGTCAATAAAAGGAAAAATAGACCATGAATTTCAATACACATACATATCAATTATCACCAAAATTAAAAAAATGTCAACTCAATGCATGACACATGATCCAACTTAAATAATTTGTGCTAACTGGCTTACTAGATTTAACATAACTAATAAATCGAAAGTGAACTTTGTGAACTGTACGTAAATCTTTAAAATAAACAAGAGAGGTAAAAGAATAATTAACCTCTTCACCAATTCTGCAAGTTTATGAAGTCTTATAACATCCCAAACTATTCAAAGTTTGTAGCACTCCCTTCCCAGAACTCCGTATGTATAATACACACACACACGTACGCCTAGCTATTTAATGATTATGATCAATAATCCAATATATACCTAGTACTTAAGCTCTACGCTTTGTGAGGCATATTGTGAAGTCTTGTTAGTGAATATTATGCGTTATTACGCATTAATGTTTTGCAGGAAGAAGGGTGGGTGGTGTGTAGAGTGTTCAAGAAGCGAATGACGACAATGAGAAAGGTAGGAGAATATGAATCACCATGTTGGTACGAGGAGGCAGCCTCGTTCATGCAAGAACTTGATCAATCTCCTCCAAGGCGTAATAGTAATAACAATATTTCTCCACCTTACTACTCCTGCAAGCAAGAGTTTGATCAATTCCAATACAACATCAATAATCTTCCCCACGACGCTTTCCTCCAGCTTCCTCAGCTTGAAAGCCCTAAACTCCCCATCTTCAGCAGCAACGCCTTCGACCATCATCAATATCAACACTGCAGAAGCAACCATGGAACCGCCGCCTCAGCCGCCGCCACGACGGCGTCGTTTTACGATCAACCAGTTGTTTTGGATCATAATGATCAAGCGGTAATTACTGATTGGAGGGTGTTTGATAAATTTGTTGCTTCTCAGCTGAGTCAAGATCATCACCAGCAACAACATGGTTCTTCCAAGGAAACCAGTCATGCCGATGACGTTGTTGCCGTCACTGAACAAGTTCCTATGCTGGAAAATCAGTCAACAACAACGAGGTCGCCGTCGGAGTTGGAGCAGGAATTTGCATCGGCGTCCACCACCACCACCTGCAACATTGAACTATGGAAGTGATCCATCGATCAAACACACACACACACACACATGCTTATTATTAGATCCATGATGATGCATACTAATTAATCATAGTATATTGCAGTTTAACGTTGGCAAATTAATATTGCCCCATCCATATAAGTTTCTGTACATAACAAGACCCTATATATATAGTTGGATGATTGGATCTCTGGTGGCCCTTGGCCATCAGATGGATGCACCATATATATATATATATAAATATAATATGCCTATAGCTAGGCTAATATTAGTGGTTCTATATGTAAACTGTGGGGTCCAGTGTTGATGCATATGTAGTAATTCTGGGAATGCAAAAGTTATGTGTTTTCTATATAGTTTTTAATTTGTTTCGTGCCAGATAAATGTATTGGTGCCTGAAATACTGATCAATTTATTCCTGCATTGCAATTCTGAAGCCTTATAGTGAACCTTATAAATTCATTGACACATAAAGTTACGTACGTACCTTTGGGCTAATTGGTAAAATTGCAATCACTCAAAGTGATGGATGAAATTGAATAAATATATATATTTATAAACCACCTAGTCAAAACTCTTTACTATCTAAAATTTATATTTATTAATCACCTAATAAATTAATTGAAACAAGATAACTTCTCTATATTTCAGCTTAATGTTATATGTTATATTGGTTTTTTATAGAACTGCCATATAATTTGCAACTTTTTTTTTTTTGCAAAATATAGCAAGTTTTTTTAAATTTTACAGCACATATATATTTGATTATTTTAAATCCTTATATACTGTGTCTCAGATATTATTATATCATTGTTATTGTTATTATGGATAAATGTCGTATGCTTATTAGATATCCTAACAGAGAAAGGCATTTTGTGGGTTGCAAGGAATATTTTTGGAAAATCACCGAGCGAATGTGGGAAAACTCTTTGGCAATATGTCCTTAATATAAGAGCTAGAGAATTAATTTAGAGAGATTAAAAAAAATTAGTTAAGTTAGTGATTTGTTACAATTGTTTTTGTATGTGCCACATTTTGTATTATTTCTCATAAACTATCCTATTTAATTATGTACATTGAAATTATTCCTGGGTGAGAACCTCTTACAATGCAATAGAAATATTTTAGAGAAAAAAATATAAATTTGGGAGAAAAAATAAATTGAGTTCTTATATTTAAAACTAAATCCAACTCTAAATTAACTTTTATATTAATTAAGGACCAGGTAGCACTAAATTTAAGTCTCATCAGAGAAAATTAAATTTAAGGGTAAAAAAAAGTTTTCTACGTTAACAAAACCAGTTAACACGTTAACATATATTTTAATTAATTAACAAATAATCCTGGTGGATAATCAAAGATACCTCATTCTCAAGAAGAATTTCTCTTCACGACATAGAAGCTATAGAATGAAAGCCAAAATTAAAAAAAAAAAATAGACAAAATGATTTCATAAATGGAAATATTTGCATTATGCCTTTGAATGAACAAATATTTAAAAAAAAACAAAGACATGATTGAGAATGGATATTGATAACAAGGATATATATATATATATATATATATATGTAATATTGTTGCAGATGTTACATATCACAGTTACTGTATAACAATGGAATGAGTTTTCCATTCCGTTGAGGTGACCAAGGTGATTCACCTACAAAATAATTAAGACCGTATTTTGTATCCAATCAGATAGTTTGTATAACTAAAGACAGATAAACACAGTAAAAGATTCTCCTGTGTCAAATAAGTTTGTGACTATATTTACTTTCTCTCTAGTTACAACCAGAAAATTTGAATTGTTCCAAATGAATTTGAAAGTGAGCAAGGACTAATCTCACATGCATATAACCTAAAGCAGTATTTATTAATTAGCACGAAGAATTAAGAATTGGAAAAATAATATATATAAAATATCATCTTCTCTTCTATTTGTTATTTATAGTGGCAAACCGAGGGCTGAGGATGCAAGAACACTCGTGATCCTAACCAAAATGTTTATAAAAACAAACAAACAAAAAGAAAATTCAGGTATTGCGTGTATTGGTGTTATGCTAGCTGCTATAAACTAAACAAACAATATAATTCAACAGTAATGGTCAAAACTAATAAGGAAGAACTTGAATATTAGCACATACATCCCCAGTAAATCAGCTCTTTCTCGGTCTGTTCTTTTTATCAATCCTGGGGATGAAGACAATGCTAACTAGTCCATTGGAAATAAGATCATATTGCATGCTGGCTATATATCTGTATATCTAACTAATTTGGCATTATTCATCATATATATATATATATATATATATATCAGTTGAGTTATTATCAGAATGAGTTTTTGCAAAGGTTAAACTGCAAAGTGGGATTCTTACAAGTTTTATTAATATAGCCTGTATCAGCTTCTGTAAAATAGCATTTGAAGATCAAAATCTAATTACCTGCTTATGAAGAACATGCCTCTTCTTTGCTGCAGAATGAAACAAGAACATGCAAGTCTCAAAACCACTTGGACCTATTTCTTCTGAATTCTCTGATGAAGCCGTGGCTCCCATAATGGAATGTGTTTGAGCTTGTTGGAGTTGATTTGTAAGTGTATATATACACACACACATATATATATTGCTGACTTGCAGACACAGTAAAGGAAATACTTAAAACAGCTAATTAATGAACATATGAGGAAGTGTAATTGAAGGGAAACAAGAATTATCAATAACAATCAAGTGTATAATAATATCATGTGGCTGTCACTGAATTGAAGGAAGGAGGAATTGGGAGTGAACTATGTGAGAGTCAAAACGCTGAATTCCTTTTAAGCAATGGCACACTCACACAGGCGACACAATCATTAAGCGTGCTCCTTTCAAACTTATCATTCATGTTTCAACCCTTAGCTAAGGGCTGAGTCTCTATGAGAGAGAGAGAGAGAGAGACCAGCAGCATGCTTGCCAAAACGATAATTCCATGCATGGTTCAGAATGGCCATTTCAAAGACTTTTTACATATTTAACCTATAGCTGGCTTGCTTGACTTCCATATATACCTGCACTTTAGGGTTTTTTGGTATTCTACATTCATGTTTTTGTATATTTGATCGAGGAGAAAAACAATACAAAGAAATATGTCTATGTGTTAGGTCTTTGTATATATATCTCTCTTTTTCTAAATGCAAAGAAATGCCACTTTTCTTTAACATACTTGCAGTGCTAGTACTACCTTTGAATTTAAGTCAAGCTAAGTCAGAATTCTCGACATGGTATTATGTTTTTTGTTTCATCCAGAAAGCTCAAACCAGAACACTTTCTCTAAGCATGGAGTTATTGTTACTCAACCTAACTTTTGAGAAAATATAGATTTGGAGAGAGAGAGAGAGAGACTTGACTTATGTTGGCTCTGAAATCCAAAACAAGAGGACCATGCGCGTTGGCACATGTGGGACAGCGTGACTGAATAATTGGAGCAATTAAAAAAATACTACTGTTGTTTGCTGACTAAGATAACATTATTAATAACCATGTGAACCTTAAACCAACAACATCATTAACCTGCTTCTTTAATTTAGTTCCCCAAATCCCAAACCTCCATACTTCCTGGATTCACAATTCTCCTCCTTCATCCATTCTCTGTCCCTCTATTTAATATTTTTCTTTTGTTTCAATCTCAATTACAAAAAGGGCCTTTCATTTTAGTCCTCAAACAATTCTTAAGATTCATTGCTCCACATACATAATACATTCAGATACTTTCTCCCATATTTCAAACCTTTTTCCTTTTTGGTCATGATATGCAAGTTGAGTAGACTACAGGGAGCCAGCAAAATGCAGCAATCATTGTTCCTCCTTTTTTTACCATACAGAATATATACACCATTAGCAAGAATGAGTATATCTATACGTACGTACCTTTAGCTAGTGCAAGATTGTATTAGCTTAACCTGTCGTATCTGAGTTAATTTTGAGAATCTAACTTATGCATCATTTGGATCTACTTATTTAAGTGCTTATTATAAGCATATTTCATATAAGTCAAGACAAAACTCCCTTCATATGCTTATCTTATATTTTATAAATTATAATTGAAAAGCTGCTTACAGGCTATTCCAAACAAACCCATATCTGAGTTGACTTTTAAGAATGTAACTATGTTAAAAACCTATTAGAAACTTTTGTCTCTTTTATCTCACCCCAATTACGTTAGTCGGTATCTAATGTATATGTAGCTTCTACATATTAGTGTAATTTGAAGAAGTCTTATCTCATTAGGTTAAGTCGAATATTTGAATAAATTTTTACCCTAAAAAACTCGTTTAATAACAACATTTAATGTTCTCTTTGACCTCTTGCTTCGCCTCATCCTGTATAGATTTTTTGTAATAATATATTTAGCAATGTACAAAAACATAAAACAAGTTGGCAATATATACGTAGAAGTAAGGGGAAAAAGACAGTAAAATACCCTCAAAATTACTAAATGACAAATTAGGGTAGATAAATTTCAAAATCCCAATTCAGACTCCAGGTACTATTTTGGAATTTTCAAATCTTGTAAAATGACAACATTGTCCTTAGTGCCGGTGACTACTTCCATATAGCTATTGACTACTCTGTTTTAACTATTGACAACTTTTGTTTTCAAAGTTCCAATGAATATTTTTATATGGCTATTGACTACACAATAGTAGTAAATCGCATTACTGGAGTAGTCAATAGCTTAGCAAAAGTAGTCATCAGAATTTAAAAATAAATGTAGTCAATAGCTTAGCAAGAGTAGTCATCAGAATTTAAAAATAAATGTAGTCAATAGCTAAAAAAGAGTAGTCAATACATAAGAAAGAGTAGTCACTAGAGTACCCCTGACCAGTCACTGGAGTTCCGGTAATGTGTCATCAAAGTTCAAAAATAAATGTAGTCAATGGCTAAAAAAGAGTAGTCAATATATAAGAAAGAGTAGTCATCGGAGCTCCGACAACCGGTCATCGAAACTCTGATGACCGGCCGCCGGAGCTCCGGTGGTTGGTCACCAGCAGGGTCGCCGGTGTCGGAGCTCCGGTGGCCGAAATTGCTGATGTGGCAGTATTTAAAAAAAAGTAAAAAAAAAAAGGTAAAGGACATTTGTGTAATTTTACAAGATTTGAAAATTCCAAAATGGTACCTGGGGTCTGAATTGGGATTTTGAAATTTACCTACCATAATTTGTCATTTAGTAATTTTGATGATATTTTACTGTCTTTTTTCCTAGAAGTAAGGGAGGCAGATTCTTTGAATTAAAAGTCGAAACACAATTATAAATATGTATTGATGGAAAGTGGGAGGCAGCAAATTATGATCGAGAAAACTTTGCGGTGACGAAAGCA